CTGTCTAATGGGCTAGAGTTTCAGTTTGGGATAAAAAAAAGGGTTCTGGAGATGGATGGTGGTGATGGTTATACGAGAGTGTGAATGTACGCTGAATGATTACGATGGTAAATTTCATGTGTATTTTACCATTAATAAAAAACAGTTAAATACATAAGCAAACAAATCTGGTTTCTTCACTCTTTATATCCCTCCTTCCTCCTGACCTAACAACAAAAACCCACCATTGTTGGGAACCACACCCACTGAGAAATGTAGCCTTTAGAACCAGAAATCTAACTCTGTGGGCCGGTGGTATTTTGAGGCCCACGTGGTCAGGCTGCAGATGAGGCCCACACTCCCCAACGTGCTCTGTTCCGGCGGCAGGGGCCAACTCAGGCCATTCCTCCCACCCAGAACACATCGCCCACCCACCCCTCACTCTCTTTGGTGGCCTTTCTGTACCCCTTCCTCCTCTGATCCCCAATAGCACCCTTTGTCTGTCCTCCTCTGGTATTCTGCCACCTCCCTCCACGTGGCATTTTCTAGCTCAAGCAGATCTGTGCTCCCGCTGGGCGCTGCCGCCTTGCCTGGAAGAATCACATCGCAAGACAAGGATGCAGACAAGAGCCCTGGATGTCTGTTGCTGGGCTCTGAGCACCCTGAAGGAAAAGACAGGTGTTGCAGGGGTGCAAATGAGCAAGGTGCATCTGGGTTTCTAGGAAGTGGGCAAAGTATGTAAATCACAGATAGACCAGCCCAGGATCTAATATTATCAAAGGATGGTTTGTGATCACTTAAGAAAGGAAGCACGTGCTCGCTTCAGCAGCACATATACTAAAAATTGAAACGATACAGAGAAGATTAGCATGGCCCCTGCACAAGGATGACACGCAAATTCGTGAAGCATTCCATATTTTATTTAAAAATAAATAAATAAATATAAATAAAAAAGGAAGCAAAGATGGCCACGTGTTCACCACAAATAATTCAGGAATAGACCCCATTTACTTGGTTTTTACTTCTTTTTAAAATAACAGCAGTATTATTTTTAAAATAACATTTCTTTAGATATAATTTACATGCCGCAAAATTCATTCTTTTAAATTGCACAATTCAGTGCTTTTTTAGCATATTCACAAGGTTGGGCAGCCATCATCACTATTTAATTCCAGAACATTTGATCACCCCCAAAAGACATGCATATCCGGTAGCAGTCATTGTCCAGGCCCCTCTCCCCGACCCCAGCCCCTAATACCCACTAGTTTGCTATCTGTCTCTATGGATTTGCCTATTCTAGACATTTCATAGAAGAGAAATCACACAATATGTGACCTTTCGTGTCTGGCTTCTTTCTTTAGCATAATGCTTTCAAGGTTCACGCATGTTGTAGCATGTATCAATCAGCACTTGATGCCTTTTTATTTATTGTCAAATAATATCCTATTGTACAAATATACCATATTTTCTTTATCCATTCATCAGTTGATGGACATTTGAGTTGTTTCAATTTTTGGTTGTTATAAATAATGCTACTATGAACATTCATGTACAAGTTTTTGTGTAGACATATGTTTTCATTTTTGTATATGTCCAAGAGTGGAATTGCTGGGCCATATGCTCATTAGCTTTTGAAACAAGGAGGTCAAGCTGATCCAAAAGAAAATCATGGCTGACCTGTTATCTCTGGCAAGGTTAGCAAGGCCCCTCCCTCTGTTAGGCTTGTGGAGGGAAGAAAAACAGATGTAGATGCTCATACAATTAGATAGGTTGGCTGTTATTTGTAGGGCCACCGAGGAAGGATGCTGACTATCATCTGCTGATGACATAAAGTTGGGGCAGAATCTAGGCCTGAAAGATCTCAGCAAGCTGGTGATGTCGAGGAATTAAAGAGAGCAAGGAAGAACGCAAGGTCCTAAACATGGAATCACCATATTATCCAGCAATTCCACTTCAGGGTATACACCCAAAAGAATTGTAAGCGGGGACTCGAACTGATATTGGTACACCCATCTTTATAGCAGCATTATTCACAATAGCCAAAGATGGACACTGCCCAAATGTCCATCAACAGATAAATGGATAAACAAAACGTGTTCTGTACATACAGTGGAATATTATTCAGCCCTGAAAAGGAAGGAAATCCTGGCACATGCTACAACATGGACAAATACTGTATGATTCCACTTGTATGCGGTACCTAGAATAGTCAAATTCACAGAGACAGGGAGCAGAGTGGTGTTAGGGAGAGGAGAGAAAAAGGGAGTTATTATTTGTTATTGTTAACAGAATTTCAGTTTTACAAGATGAAAAGAGTTATGGAGATGGATGGTGGTGATGGTTGCCCCACGATGTGAATGCACATAATGCCACTGAACTGTACACTTCAAAGTGGTTAAAATAGTAAAATTTGTGTTATATTTACCTTACCACATTAAAAACAAAAACCAGGAAGTCCTGAAACTAAGACCTCCAAACCAACTTCTCAAGTACTGGTTCTGAGGGAAAGAGTTCAGCTGCATGGGTGATGACATTTGGAGACTTACAAGACCACAGTGAGTTTGGGGGCTGCCAAAAAATGCATGGGGTGCAATCCTGATGGCAAGAGCAAAAAGTTCCAAATACCCCCACCCCATGATAGTCTGCTCCACTCCAGGCTGACCCCACACTTCAGGTGACACAGTGGGAGGCACCCAGGAAGGTGAATGGACTTGAAGGCGCCACACAAGGATGAGAGCAGAAGGAACTGGGAGTATTTGGCCCCAGGAAGCAGAGAGCTATCTTCAGATTATGCATTTAAACTTCCCAGGAACCTTCCCAAAGGACGGCCAGAACCGGGCCCTGTACGTGAACAGGACAGAGACAGCTTAAGCCAACACGATGAAGAGCTTTCTGGCAAAAACAGTTGACAAGAAGGAGACCCGAGGTAAGGAGAGCTCTTATAAACAGGCCAAAGGGACGATCTCCATTATAGGGAGTCCTAGTCATAACCAGGCTCCTTTAGTATGGAACTTTCCAGAACCTTCCATGTGGTCATGTGTCCGAAACTTACCAGAGGGAAACAACACACAGACTCATGTGACCACACATTCCTGTGTTCGGGGAATTTCCATGGGAGGAGGCGTATCTTGGCAACCTAGTGTTCCAAGGAGAAGACTTTGGGAAAGGCCTCTCTGGGCAATCCTAGGTTAGAAGGGCAGCCAGGTGGATGACCACGACAGCTGCCCCAATGCCGAGATTTTGAATGAAATGTCCTCTGCCCACTGCTCAGTACACAGTGCGCATCCCAACAAAGTCTGCTGAAGAGAAGACGGAAGCGATGAAGGGTAGTGCATTCAAGATGTCAATCATTCGGGGTAGAAGCAAAGAGTGTTAGGGTCTGAATGCACAGCAGGGCGGAAGAGTGAAGGTAGGAAGGGAGCAGCTGCAAAGCTTAGGTGAAAAGAGAGGGGAGGGCCCAGGAAGAGGATATAAACTGGGGCAAGGAGGGAGATAAGAAAAGATCAGGGAACAAGGAAGGAATTTGTCCTGGGGGTGGGGGGGAGCCAGGGTTTCTGTCACCTAATCTAGCACTAGCACAGCCTCTCCAGCACAAAGGGGCTGTGGATAGGAGGCCGTTCGCCGAGAGGGGCTCAGAGCCACTATCCTTGTGTTTCCTTTCTGAGAAGGATTGAGAAGAGACCAGAAGATTTAGAAAACCTTTCTTTTAGACCCTCAAGTCTGAAACATTCTCCAGC